ACCCCCTTCCTCCTCCTCTTCCTCCCCCCCTTCCTACCCCCCTTCCTCCCCCCCTTCCTCCCCGCCCCACGCACGCACATTGATGATGTCCTCCATCACGGGTCGCGCACACTCGAAGAACTCCCCGGCTGAGAAGTCCTGATGGGGCTCCCGCACGTCAATCAGGTGATGGGGAATACCCCGCCGCTCCGAGGGGGGAAGCTGGCGGGCGGGCGGGCGGGCGGACGGGAGGGGGCAGTAGCAGCAGACATAGCGACGGGGACGGGAAGGGGAGGAGGGGAAGATTTGGAAGCCGAGTCACGGGCTGTGGATTCGGGAAATACGCGACGAAGGGTTGGAAGGGGGAGAGGGAGCAGGGGGTTACAACAAAACATGATACACACACAAAACGACGTACATACACGCATGCAGTCGTACATACCCGGAGGCACCACCACGATGCTGCATCCGGACTGACAACGAACCCCGCGCCCGGCAACCACAAACACAGCACACGTGGCGGGGAGTACCCGTACTGTACGGCATGTACGGCGGCGGTACGGCACACCTCTCATACCTTGTCTGAGCCCACGTCCAGACCCTTGTAGACCTGCACGCTGTCCGCACTGATCACCTCCCCCCCAGCTGACGACGCCCCGCCGCCGCCAGCCGCCGAGCAGCCGCCAGCACCATCAACGGCACCGCACCCTATCCCCGTCGCGCTATATCCAGCACCATTACCGTCGGAATGACGCTGCTCCTGCTGCTGCTCCTGTTGGTGCTGCTGCTGCTCCTGCTGCTGCTCCTGCTGCTGTTCCTGGTGCTGGTAATTGTGGTGGCCTGTCGTGGTGGGCTGCCTGAGATGCGTTGCCAGCATGAGGCTGATGGCTGTCTTGCCGACGGCGGTGGGCCCGGTCACGATGACCACCTGGCTCCGGGGGGGGAGAGAGGGGGGGGAAACGAGGGGGGGGGAGCGGAATCCGGATTTGGCATTCTTCCACTCCGCCATGTGGGCTAAAGAAAGGGGAAAAGGGTGAACACGCACACAGTCAACCCACCCTTTTCCTTAACCCGTACACCTACCTACCCACGTACATCCATACATACATACATGCATACATACATGCACGTGTGTGTTTTCTTCAAATTCTGGGTCCGCTGGGGAAGAGGAGAGGGTGCCAGAACAGTAGAATTGGAAAGTGAGGTGACCCCACCACTGCCCTGCCTTGCACGTCCTCCCTCCCCTTCCCCTCCCCCTCCGCTGCCCCACCCCCACCCCCTCCCCCTATCCGCCCCTTCTCACCATAGGGCGTCGCTGCGCGGTTTCGGAGCCCTCAGCGGGCACGTTGTCAGCCGTCGCTGCTGCGGCACGTGCGGCCTCCTGTTCATGCTCGTCCTGCGTGTGTTGTTGCTGCTGCTGCTGCGGCGGCGGCGGCGGCGGCGGCGGTGAAAGCGACGGCTGTTGCTGTTGTTGCTGCTGCTGTGGGGCATATTGCGGCTGCAGTTGCAGCTCAAAGAGAGACGTGGCGGGCATAGGTATTGGCTCGGTCATGGGAGTGGTTGCGGCTGCTGCTGCGGCAGCAGCAGAGCACAGAGCGGTACGACTGTGGCTTCCACTTGCGTTGGCTGTGAGGACTGGCTGGCGGCTGCCGCCGCAGCCGGCGGCAACGCCGCCGACGCCGAGGTTGGCGCTGGGACCAGTGGCAACGGCTACCACGGGAGCCTGGGAGCCCAAGTGGGTGCGGGCGCCACGGGCAAACCTAGTGGCTGTGGGAAACAGCTTTGAGAAGGGAATCTTTCGGGGGTATGATGGTGGGTTCAACAAGGAAACCCGGCGCAGAGGAGGCGGAGTTGGATGCGGCACGGTTTTGCTGCAGAGCGCTGCACGGGTGTTGGCCGCCGACCGGTAAGCGTAAGCGGCGAGGTATGAGGTAATAATGTCGGTGTTGAACACTTAAAGCATGATGAGGTAGGTTAGTTAATGCTGCGGTAAAGCGACGTGCGGTAAAGCGACGTGCCAAGATGTTAAGGGAGGTTGCAGATTCCCTAGTAAGCGGTGAATTATATCCCTAATGCATAAATTCTTTCAGTATGTAGTGGGTGTGCGTGCTGGAGAAGAACGCTGCCACTTTGCTTTCGGATGTCCGTACAAGGCTGGTCCGCACTTCGCGTCCCTTGGGTGCATCAAAGCGGTGTGGACGCCAGATAAAGGGGTGCAGAGCAGGGCAATTTTACATTGCAGCGCGCACTTGCGCATCGCTTTTGCCGCAGCTCACAGTATCGGCCACCGTGATATATCGTCCGTACTATGAACTTCTTGCGTTACGGGTTGAGTTGCAACGTTGTTGGCGTCTTGAGGTTGCTTTGCATGTCCAACGATTGAGTTCTTTTCCATTTGTGTGCGGCTTAAGGTCGCGCACCTGGGGAGATGCCTTCAGAAAAAGCCCATTCTCACGATGGCGTCGGAGATGGAGCCAAGGACTCTGACAGCTCGGAGCACAGCTGGCCAGATGAGGATGAGGACGAGGTAAGGCACCATGGTTCACATCCGAGCCTACCCTTTACCCTTATTTGTAACCTGGTCTGACAAAATGACGCTGGTTTGCAAGCTGAAGGGAACTTACACCTCACTTGGTTGCGTCTGTCTTGCTTGCTTGCTGAAGCTTTCATGGGGAAGTTAAACTTTATGTCGAGTTGAACACATCTTCTTCACTGCGATTCGGGCGCTTTCCTCGTCTAGCTGTACATAGAGTGATTGCTTATCACGCTGGAGAGGGCACGCAGCTACGGCTGGGGCCCTCGGCTGTCACGGCAAGCTTCCTCTGATAAGCTGCAGGAATGCGTTTCACCGGCGTTTCATAATCCCTTAACGTGCTCTTGCAACCTTAACTCCATCTCGCCTTTCAGCATTTGCCGCGGAGCGCGTAAACGTTGCACCTATGCCGCTGGTCGAGGCTTCCTGTCCCGAACGCAGCTTCCCCTGGTTACTGTGGCAGCGGAGGCGCTACTACGACCCCCTCCCTTAATAATACCGGGAGGAAAACTGCACCCCGCTTACTGCGTCTTACAGGCAATCCCCTGTGCGGGTCGGACCCCTCACTCCCCTTCGCTCCCCTTCGCTCCCCAGCCCATCGCCGGGCACCGATAAGGCAACCCCGGACAGTAGCCTCACCCGTCTCCCCGACCCAGGCCTCCATAACCTTATTCAGATTACGCCAACCCGGACCCAAACTCTGCCCGGCCTCACCGCCCACTTTCCTCCTCCTCCTTGACGCCCGAATCCCCGGCACAACCTCCCTCCCTTTTCCCTCCCTCCTCCCCCCGCACGCATACACGCACACACATACACATACACACTGCGCAGGACGACTTCTGCACGACCCTGGACGACCTGCCGCAAAAGGTGCGTGGGACCTACAGGAGTTGTGAGATGGGGCAAGATGGGAGCGGAGGGGGAATAGAAAAGGAAGAGATGAGGAAAGGGTGGTGGTACTACAGCTACAGCAGCAGCAGCTCCTGTTCCTGGGGCGTTTCATTGCTCCTTGGAAGGCCCTCCATAAATCCACACCAATAAGCCCCCTCCCACACAAATATCTCTCCCACTGGCCTGGTTCATCTCCCCCCCCCCTGGCCCCCGATTCCGCTCCCCCTTTTTTCCGCTCCCTCAGGTTGAGGATCTGTTGTACATTGGCTCTATGGCTGCCGAACACAACTACGAGGGATTGAAGGCGGTTGGGATCACCCACGTGTTGCAGGTGGGGCTAGGGAAGGGCGGGCAGTGGGGGGCGGGCAGCCACCGCCTGGTAGCGACGGCGGACGGGGAGGGGAGGAAAGACAGGGTAGGTGCAGGTACACAAACACACTTTATTTTATATTGTATAAAATATTGCAGTATATTGCAATTTTGACGTCCTCGGATCTCGCAGCGGCGCTTAGTTCATTCAAGGCATGCCCTATTGCCCCTCCCCTCCCCCCGGCAGTTCACTCCCCACTTCCTCGCGTGTGGTTCCCCTCCCCTCCCCCCTCCCCCCTTCCCCACGCGCACACAAAACACAACACCCCCCATGGCGTCCTGGGCCGCTCAGGTCGCCGAGGGACTGGCGCCCTCCCATTCCCGAGAAGATCTGTCGTACCGTACGATAAAGGTTGCTGATCTGCCCTCCGAGGACCTGGTCGCCCACTTTGGCCGCTGCTTTGACTTCATTTCGGAGGCGCACGGAAAGGGCGGTGCGTGAGGGGAGGGATTATCATGATATGATATATATTCTGTGAGATTTTGTTTAAGGAAGCTAAGCGGAAGGCCTCTGCGTATTAGCGTTATGGAAGGAACCCCCCCTCCCAACCCCCTCCCAACCCCCTCCCTGGCAGCAGTTTCAATCGTGTGTGGTTCGTCCCTTCCCCACCCAACTCGCTCCCAACCCCCTTCCAACCCGCTCCCAACCCGCTCCCAACCCCCTTCCAACCCGTCCTCGCCCTCACCATCCCGCAGGCGCAGTGCTGGTCCACTGCGTAGCGGGCGTGTCCCGGTCTGCCACCGTGTGCATGGGCTGGCTGATGTGGCGTCACAAGCTCAGTGCGGAGGAGGCGTTTCGTCGCGTGCACCGAGTGAGACCCTGGGTGATGCCCAACCCCGGCTTCCGGAAGCAGCTGGAGCGGTTCGGTGAGCTGGGCTGCGACCTGACCAAGTGGACGGCGTGGCGACATGTGTGGCGGGAGGAGCCGATCACGCTGGTGTTCCAGGCGTTTCAGCGCGCGGCTGCACGCGGCGTGGAGGCGCTGTCAATCAATGACGAACCGCTGCCATCATTGTAATGGCGACCCATGGGTCGGGTTGGGTTTGGTGTGGTGAGCAGGTTTTATTAGTAACGGTTTGGCGCGGTGGGAGCTAGCAACCCATGGGTTGGATTTGAGCAGTAGACCAACTGTATGTGTTGTATCCACAGATGTCGTGGTGAGCTGGAGTTGGCGGGGTGAGTGTAGCAGCGGGTCTTTGCGTGTGGGGAATTTGCAGTAAGGGGGCCTGGGGCGGGTGGGAGGGAGGGAAGGCAGCACGCGCGCACAGGAGTGGAGCTTCGGGTTGAGTGGAGTGAGAGAGAGGGAAAGGTTTGGGTGTAACACACCGCGAGGAGAGAAGAAGACAAGTGCGGGGGTGTAATAGTGTTCGGTTGGTGTATGTGCATGCCGTGAGTCTATGTCCCTCTTGAGTAGTGCAGGGCGCAGTTCCATATTGCTGGGTGCTCTGTGAGGGTGTGCATTGCATGCATACATGCAGGCGGCTGGCAGAGGTTAAGGCCTGACTTCTGCTCCCAGTTGACCCAGTCGACCCGGGTTCAAATCCGCCTGCCGGCTCCTCGGGTGTTTGAGGAGTGATGAAATGGGAGGTGGCCCCCCATCTTATGGACGGTGTAGGACGTGATAATATCAACTTGCGAGCTGACCAGGAACTAAGTTGATGCGCCGTTGATCCGCTAGATTTGGTTGGATGCTGGTGGTGAGTTGCCGAACCCAACGAATACATTCTGAAGTCGGATGGGGTGACGGATTAGGGTGCCCCTCTAGCAGGGGAGAGCAGGGACTGCCCCGGGAAAGGGGGCCGCTGGCGAAGTTAACCACCCTGTAACAACATACATACATGCATTAGGAAGGAGATATATCTTCAACACAGATGCAGATCTCCCCCTTTCCCCACATATCATATGAAGCATGGTGGTCACTTCTCCTCGTGCGCGTGTGTGTTTGCGTGTTCGTGTATATGCGCCCGTGGTTGACTGCAGTTTATTGCGGGGCGTGTCTATGCGTGAGTGGAGTGTGTGTGCGTGTGCATGTGAATGTTTGGACGTGCGGACGTGAGTGCGTATCTCCACCCGTGTATGTGTTTGTGTGTGTTTTGTGTTGTACGTAATCTCACCGGGCCTGACGCCGAACTCAGGCAGCTACCGGACCTGACAATAGCCACGCGAGCGCGGACGCCCCCTGCCCTAACGCGCGCTTGCGTGTGTGCATGTGCGTGTGCCAGTTCTCTTGAAGGGAGAGGAAGAGGTTGGGCATGGAAGCGTTTCGCCTGGAAGCAGCAGCGGGGCCGTCGTCGCGTGGGGTCCCCCGTGTGGAAAGCGTTGCCGTGCTGCCAACGAAAAACTGTGCTGCTGTGCTGCTATGAAATCTTCTTAGCAGCATGGAAAACGTGGGTGCTGGTGGCGAGATACCTATATATTGTATACCTATACTCTTTGGTGACCTAGATTCTCTAGGTTGACGTTCTCGCCTTGGGCTTCATGTGCGGTGGGCTTCATTTGCGTCGTGCTACCCGTATGTTTTGAGGCTGTTTACGGGGCGGTAACACCACACGAATTAAAGATGCCTTTATGGAAGGTCATCTTGAACTTCTTAAGGTCGTTTTTGTGTCAAGGGGGTGCTGGGAGGGATGTGGAGGCTCTGTGGAAAAAGTTTAAGGGGGAAAGTGTGGGGTCGTCGTGGCCGCGCAGTCAAGGAAGGAGGCATAGCATGTCGTGACATGGCGACGATGTAGCCGGGCAGGAGCTGCAAAGTGACGGGCTGACATCGATGGATGGTGCATTCATGCTGCCTGCGTTCAATCTTTTTTGCTGTTCCTTCCCGGAGAAGTTTCGAGAGTTGCTGATTGTTGGTGGCGGTGACTGCTTGCCTATGTGAGGAGAAGAGTGCGTCTTGAATCCAGTTCCACTTAGTATGGAGTATCGGTAGAACAACCCGGAGGAGGAACTCACCATCATCAGTTGGAGCTCCTGAACAAGGCGTGCCTTGTTTCAATATGGACGGATCCAGAACATCATGTATATTATGCCTATTACATTTCAAGATGTGCCATGGACACCATCTTGTCGTTAAAAGAAAATTGGCATTTGGAAGAAACCTCATCCTCCGTGTGGTTGCTGAGGTTAGGAGCTGCTCTGTAGTATGCGCTGGTTTCAACGACTGCACCTTGTAACCAACAACACTGCTCGCCCCAGCGCCCTGGCTCGCCGATATCCCAGGCTTCAAAACCCTGTCCAACGGCCAACCCCCCCAACCGCCACAGCATGGGTCCCGAGCACCGCACGACTGCGTAAGGGATAATTTGCTACTAGATCTTTACTTGTCGCTTACATGTATAATACTTGTTTTCCGTTCTTTGCTTTTAAGACAAAACATCACGATTGCTTTGATGAATGCACCCTCGGATTCCAATGATGCCGCAGTTCAAGGTTTGTTAAGGGAGGCCTATACTGCAGTAGCTAACGGGGATCCTACACAGGCGCTTCGGGTAAGAAGACATAGACACGCCTTGCACTCCTGAATTTAACACAAATGCCACAAAAGAGTGTGGGCCGGCTGATACACGGACTCCATGTAATCCTAATATGCAGCTTGTACTTGCGGCTTTGCATGCAACCGGTGGTCAAGCTGCCGCAGCGCCAGCGCTTAACCGGTGAGCTTTTCGGCCCCTCCGGAACCGCTTGTTCATTCCCCATCAGGACGCCTTTCCTGAGCCAGCTTCCTCCTGCACCCATGTCCATTCCTGCATCTACTCCACAGCGTTCTGACGCACCTTACAGCAGACAACCAGGGCAACGCCCTACAGGAGCTCACGGAGCTTTTTGCTCGCGCCGCTACCGTCAGAGGCGAGGTGCGCCCGCCTGCGCGAACCCCGGCTCCCTCCGGTCTACGCAGCACGTTCCCCCACGTTCCTCACGCAGGCCAGCGGCCCCTCATTTTCGGTCCCTGCCCCGCAGGATTCCACTCCCCAAGCCCCGCCCAGCGGCATCCCGCCTGTCTGGCCAAGCCCGCCAAGCGCCACCCCCCACCTTCCAATGTGGCGTGGCACTAACCTCACCTGCCCCGCTGTTCCCCACGCCAGCATTTCGTTTCCTCCTTGCCCGGGGGGGGAAGCCACCCGCAGCGGCGATACCAGCAGCAGCATGAGCTGTAGCGGTAATGACCTTGCCTCCACATCCGCATCTATGGACACGGAGGGAGCCGGAGGGGGTGCAGGTCGAGGAGGCGCAGTAGCCGTAGCATCAGTAGCAGGGGAAGGAGGCGGGGGAGGAGGAGGAGGAGGGCAGGAGGCGACGAGCACCTGGGTGGGGCATGGGTTGCTGGGAGGCCTGCAGCAGCGCCAGGCGCCCATCCTGAGTGTGAGTTTGGGAGGGCCAGGGCGATGTGCGTGTGCGGTTGGGGGTTAAGGGACTTGTGACTTGCGTGCCGCAATCATCCCCTCGAGACCTCCTTTCTATCCCACGCCCGCACCGACTGCACCCTTTCCCCCTCCTGCCGCCTTCGCGTCTGGGGAGGTCCAGGGGGGTCGTCTCCCCGGGAGGGGGGGGCTCTGGAGGCTTTGGAAGCCTATCTTGCTGTCCTGGCGTTGAGCAGTACATACATACGTACGTACATACATACGCACATACATACGCACATACATACGCACATACATACGCACATACATACATACATACATACATACATACATACATACATACATACATACATACGCACACACCCTCTTGCACACGCACATGAACAACACCCCTTCACGCGCAGGAGACCGGTCGCGAGGGCTTCATGGAGTGCGCTCTGCAGGACGGCTCGAGCTACGTGTGCGCCCGGTGCCGGGGTGTGGTGCTCGTACATCGCCGTCAGCAGCACGAGCAGTACTGGTGTCCGCGATCAGGGGCCGGGGGTTAGGCGCCCCTCACCCCCACCGACGCATAACACCTAAGACCAACGACCCGCGTATGGGTAAAGGTGGGATGGGTGGGGAGGATGATATTGGTCGTCTTAGTGTGTTTCGGAAGGGGGGAAGGGGGGGAGCGGGCGCCAGAAGATGAAGGACTTGGCCCGGCGGGTGCCAGTGGTGGCGGGGTGGCTTGTTTGGGGGGCCCAGAGAGGAAGGGGGAGACGGAAGCTTGGGACGTGTGAAGAAAAAGAGGTGCGTAAGATTTGGAGGGGGCGGCAGCGGCGGCGGCCGAGGAATGGAGTAGGAAATTAGGAGAATTAAAATGTTGTGCCAGTTTTCAGATCTTTCGTTTCATGTTCGTTTCGGTTTTGCTGTTGGCTTTTCGGAATTATTTCTCAGGGGCAGGTGCCCCAGGTGTTAGCCGCCTGGGGACTGGCGCTTCTACAGTCAGTGACGGCGGCAGCACGCAATCAAACAAATGAAGTCGCTGTCCTCGTTCATGTGCAGTTATCGTTCATGCTGTGTTAGTGTTGTGTTGTGTTGTGATTCCACGAAAGCACACATCTTTTGATGTTGCCACTGCTGTTTTTATCGTTAGCAGATTCTGGCAGTGGTGGTTGTCCGTTGCTCGTTGTGCTTTGTTGGTGGCCAACTGTGGCAGCAGTCGAGGCGCGTCATGGAACTGCAGTGTACGTGTGACTGCAGGCTTCCAGGGATGGTATTGGGCATCACGTGGTTCAGAGGGGGTGCGAGAGAGGAGACACTCGGCTGTTGTGGTGGCCCCCCCCCTCCCTCCCAACTACTGGCACGAGTGTTCAGTAGCAGAGAATCTTGTCTGAGTCACGAGGCCCACGTGCAGGCTAGTTCTAAACCCTTCCTCCACCAGGATAACTTTAAACCCTCTCCCCCCTCCTACATTAGAGGGGTGGCCCCCCCCAGCTGTAACTACTGGCACCCCCGAGGGGGAGAGAACGGGGAAGGGAAAGAGGAAGAAGGGAGTCAGGAGGGGAAGAAGGGGGCAACCCAGATGGGCGAGGATGCAGAACGGGCCCCCCCTGCAGCGACGGTGGCGCGTTTCGCCACGTTACCTCAACATGACTGTGACTAGTGAGTAATACGGCAGCATGTATATGTTGGCACGCGCGGGGACCAACCGACTGCGTCGTGGACTGGTGCCGCCGTGGCCGCCGTGGCACTGGCCCGGGGTTGGGGGGTTGGGAGGGGGTCTTGGATCGCAGCAGGGCAGCGGCGAATGCCCCCAACCCATACCAATCTGCAAGACGACCTTGTAAAAACCTATAATAGCTCATATGTGTGTGTATGTGTATGTGTATGTGTGTATAGTTATCAACATGTGTGTGCGGTATGCGTATGACGTGTGGGATTGGGGTGAGGGCGGGAGAGCCCGCAGCTCTCCAGTCATTCTCGTTGTGGTTGTGCTTTCAGCACCTCCACCACTAGAGATTCCTCCACAGCAGTCACCGCCACAGTCATCATCATCAGCAGCAGCAGCAGCTGCAACAACTGGTGACAGAGATGGAAGGAGACAAGGAAACCAATTCCTTGGAGCATTCCACTCGCTGTGTGCGCGATAAGACGGTGCTCGTGGTGCCACAAAACTGCCGCAATTCCCCAATCACTCCAGAGTCCACCTCCACCATCACATCATCATCCGCAGCAGCCGCAGCAGCAGCCGCACCGCTCCCCAAAACGGTGCAAAAAAAGCAGTCGTAGTGTTGCCTTCCTCCTCCCCTTTTTGCCCTGGCCCCGGCAACCCTCCCTCCAGCCCTCCACCACCACCAGGCGAGGCCGAGCAGCGCACACGCAACCAATCCGCTGGCCACCACCACCACCACCACACGTGCGACGTGCACGCCCGGGCCGGGACTTGCGACTGTGTATCTTACTTTCACCACAGCAGCAGCCCAACAAACACATACATACATACACATACACGCAGGTCCTTACACCCCTCTCCGTAATCCATAAGCCTAAAGCAGCTAAGAGGGGTGGAGGGGGATCCCTTTAGGGGGGGACTCCAAGAAGCAAGCAGGGAGGCGAGGAGGAGAGGCAGGGAGAGAGAGACGCCCCTTCAGGGGCCGGGGGTGGGGGTTTTAAAGGGCCGATCTATGGAACCAACCGCAAGAAATCACCCCTCGAATTTAACTTTATCGTTACCGTTACTGTCGCATACATTCCAAATGCCTCCCTCGCCCAAACGTCCTTTGTCTCCCCGCCCCACCCCCCAAACCCCACGTCCCTCTCCCCTCCTCCCTCCCTCGGGTCGTCTTCCGTGCCCAAGTACTAGCCAACCTGGCCCCGGTTCTCCCCCCTACCGCCTTTCCCCCTTCCCCTCCCCCCGCCCCATGCGTTCCAAGCTGGTGGCGTAGAAGGTTCGGAAGTTCTCGGAGGTGGCGGCGGCCGCCTGCTCAAGGGATATGCCCCTCGCCTCCGCCACCGCTTCTAGAATGTCCCGCAGCCCGGAGTCCACCCTCCGGGGACTGCACTGGTCGCTCTCTACCAACAGACGCTCCAGGGGGGCGGCGCGGAGCCGCTCCAACAGTTTTGTCGCGAGCTCGGCCATTGATGACGGAGGAGAAACTGCCGCAGGCAAACACCGCGTGGGGGTGGGGGTGGGGGTGGGGGCACGTGCATGTAGTGTGGACTTAAGGAACCGTCGTGTAGGCGGAAGGCAGTCCACCCGCCTGTGTGTTCGCAGGCCGCATAGGGGCACATCGACAGACACACACGCACACATACACACCTGAAGTAGACCCTCTCCCCCACGCCTCCGGGCAGCTTCGTGAAACCGCGGATCAGATCCACACTGCCGCCGTAGCTGCGAGTGCGAAAGGGGCCCAGCAGAGGGGCGGTAGGGGGATGTGAACGTGTAAACCAATACTTCCATCCAGCCTCCCATCTCTCCCCCGTCCTTGCTGCGCCATCCACGTAAGGAAAAAGCGTCCCTAAAACCCCCTTCCCCTTCCCCTTCCCCTCCCCCTTACCCATCATCCCGAGGTCGCCGCCTTCAAGAATGCCTACTGGTCAGTTCTGCTCCTTGGCAGCAGCTTCACTCGTTCGTGGCTCGTCATTCCCCTTAACCCCTTCCCCTCCCCCTTCCCCTTGCAGCAGTCTGTAACTTTGGCCGTCGGCACGAAGAGAATACGACGTATTTTCCCTCCTTGGCCTGGCATCATCATCTAATCCCCCCTCTCACCTGTGCAGCATGACCTTGGGCGGAAACCCCTCCGGCCCCAACCTCCGCATCATGTCCTGCAGGTGGCCGTAACCCTGCACGCAGTGGAGGGAGGCGGGGCGGCCAAGCTCCGAAGCCAGTCTCAGGTGCAGCTCGGTGAGAGCCAGCTGGTGACTCCAGGAGGGCTGTACGGCAGGGGGAAACAGGGAGGGGCAAGGGAGGTGAGGGTGAAATCTTGGGAGGGGGGTTGGGAAGAGAGGGTTGAAGGAACACGCTCGGTCCCGTGCCATGTTTCTAATATAACATTAGTTATCATATTTATTTTGAAACATAACATACATAACATACATATATATATTAATTATGTCATTACATGATATAAATTATTATGTGTGAGGGGAGAAAGAGAAGTGAGGCATGTTTCCTTGTAACGCCCGTCGCCGTTCGATCCCGCAAGCACGCACTAACTTCGCCTCCCCTCCTCTCTTCCCTTGTGGACGTTTGCGATGTGATACCCGCCTCCCCTCACTTTACCCCTCTCTCCTCTCAATCACTCTCTCCCCATCCCCCCTTCCTTACCTGCAGCCGGGTTCCCGGCACCACCGCCACCCGGTCCAACCCGAACTCCCCCACCACAGCCTGGGGATATCGCTCCAGCAGCGCCCTCAGGCGGGGGAACCAGGTGGCGGGGGGGAGGGGGGCCAGACGGGGCATCAGGTCGGGGTGGCGGGAGGGGTGGTCCTTGCCGTTGGCGGGACAGTCCAGCAGCAGCGGCAGCGGCGCCGGCAGGGAGGGGTCTGCGGGCGCTGCAGCTGCCTGGTCCAGGGCGTGGAGGTGCGCGAACCAGGGGTGCACTCCGAAGCAGGGTATTACCTGCCGGGTGGCGGGTTGCGGTTTTGCTTGTTGTGAGGGGTTGAGGGGGAAAGTAGTAGGAGGAGGGGGGTGAGGGGAGGGCGGCAGCAAGTACGGAGAAAGGAAGGAAGGAGCAAACGGAGGAGGCCAGCCACGCAAGAGCCTCCTCGGCACGAATCAAGACACATACACATACCCACACGTAAACCTATTTTTTCCCGCTGTTTCCCCCCACCCAAACCCCGTGTCATCCAGTTGCTAACTACCAACGATCAGCACCCGCACCAGCCCCCCAACCCACACAATGAATTTCCCCTCTTTCCCCCCCCCCAACCCCCCCCAAACCCCCCCAAACCCCCCCAAACCCCACACATCCCCCACACCCCCACACCCCACCCCACCCCACCTTGTCGGGCTCCCTGACGGCTAGCTCCTCCACCGCCTCCCAGTCCTCCAAGCGGGTGCCCATGGCCGCAAGATAGCGACATTTGGATACAGCAGCCAGCCCGGAAGCGCACGCGACTGGGTCGTCCTGTGTGTGTTGTGGGTGGGGGAGGGGGTGCCCGGGGTGGTGTTGAGCTAGGGCGACTGAGTTTGGTCGGGGTGGGTTCCGGAGCAGGAGTGTGGCAGGTTGGAAGGGGTAGGGGGTGGGGGGAAAGGCGACTGGCGGGTACCCCTGCCCAAGGTGTCACACATGTGAGTGCGTGGCCATGTGTGTGTGTGTGTGTGTGTGTGTGATCGTGACGTGACGCTTTCGGTACTGCTGGGTGCGCACCTGCGGATGGCAATGCGCGTCGCTGACTCCGAAACTGACGAGCAGGTCGTCGTCCTCCATGCTAGCGGGAGCCTGCGCACTCCTTGAAGAGAAGGACGGTGATATGCGCCTGGCTGATATGCAGAGATGTGGGCGATGGCAGCTTGTGGTCGAGGTGTTACGCGTGCTGACAATGCGATGCGTGCCTCCGCCCAGGCACCGGCTCCACATGACCAACTAGTACTTGTTATTGAGAGTAAGGCATAAAATATATGATGCAACGTCTAGTTCACAGCGTACTAAGGCAAGCCCCCTGAAGCAAGCTTTGAAAGCGCATATTTACCGATATCAATTACTTAACGGTAGCAGCCGTTTGGCAGTAATACAAATAGCAAATAACACAGTTATGTAGAAATTTGTACTAGGCAACGCGGAACATCATAGCAAATCGCGGGATAGACAGACAGGGACTGACACACAGTGCTCCGGTGTCACATGACTTATGCACAACCGGGAGTATGTATGAAAACAAGTTGAATGAACTCGTTAGGATTTCTTAATTGCGTCGGGGAACTATGCGCCGTGCGCATGGGTGTTGCGCGAGCAGGTAAGCATCTCCTGGATGCATTCCCTTGAAGGATTCATCAGGACGTGGTACCAGTCATACAAATCGCAGTTAGGATCAAAGGAAGCTACATAACCTGTATGTGGATGTCACATCCATGGCCAAATACCACATTGGCTGCAGAGCCGCAGGCCAAACCTATTCCCACACAAAGGACTACGTATTCTCAATGCAGTGAGTATTCCACAGGAAATTCCTATGTCCCTGCGCTTCTGTGTCCTGCCTCTCGGAGACAGTTGAACGAGCAGGTCAAGCCGTACCATTGGTTTTCCAGGAAGCCGAGGTGAAAGATACAGTTGACCACAAAATATAAGCAGGCTAGACACATGTAATTTGTACGGCTCCTGTAGCTCATTTTTACTCCAGGCAACGCACGAACGCAAATCCTTCTAAGGAATTGCCAGCGCCATCAATACAGCTCTAATCTTTTGCCAAGGCTTTCACTGTATAGCATTCTAATCCACCTTAGTTAAACATTCAACTGTTTGCAGCAGAACGACGACGCCTACTGAGGGTTCAGGTGCAGAGCGCATACCAGAGCGATCAATCCTTCCAGTGCTTGGTTGATCATAAATCGATTGCGGGCGGTGACGCCCGCGCGGCCTGTGGGTCGCCATGTCGGAAGCCGGCTCGGCGCAATTGCTTGCCGCGCAGCAGCAACAGCAGCTTGATGGGGGCGACGACCAGCTTGACCCGCATGTGGAATTTCTCCAACAGCTGGTGAGTCGGAACACAGGATCGCTGGACCAAGCACATCTACCCATCCCGCAACCTACCTAATCCGCGTCACATGCCCAAGACTAGTAACCCTACATTCCGCATCTTCAGTTATTCCCCGCACTCCCGCATTCCTGAAATCCTTGGACATCCCGAACCGCCCACGTGCTGAGATTCTGTTTCTGAAAGAAGCGACACCCAGGGTCCTGAATCCCAGTCCCACAGATGCACAGCGCACACCTCATCTTGAATGTTTCTGGCACATACCCATCGTAGCACACACCATCCACTATGTGCCTGCAATCCGAACACGCGATTTTCCCATTCCTCTCTCTCTCCCTCTCCCGATTCCCACCCCTCATACCATTCCGCCATCCTCGCCATCCCCTCCCCCCTCACCTCCCCACGAATCCCTAACCCCATGACCCAACCACCCCGCCCGCACCTCTCTCCCTTATTCCCAGCTGCGCGACAATGAGTTCCTGCAGCGGGAGAATTTATTGTTTGAGGCTTTTCTGGCCAAGGTACGACAAAAAACCTAATATGGGTGGAGAGGGTGGAGTACGGGGTGGGAGTTCGGGGTATTAGGATTGCTCCAGGGGGTTGCGGGATGGGGGTGGGTGGGGATATTCCCCCGCCTCTCCGAGGGTGGCAGGTTGAGGGGTTGCTGTCCCACGGACCTGGTGCGCTGTGGGGCCCGATGTGCAGGTAGTAGACTGAGGAGTTGAGAAGTGAGGCGCTATTAGGAGGAGTGCAGTAGCAGTAGTAACAAAAGTGGCAATAGCAGTAGCGACAGAAATGGCAGTTGCCACCGTTGACTTTGTGTCCTGTATGTCTGTCCTGCATGTCTGTCCTGATGTCTGTCTTGCATGTCTGGCAGCCCCATGCGGGCGCAATCCAAAGCTCTCAACAACACAATGACCCTAATACACCCTCTCCTCTCCCCCCTCCCCCCGTCCCCCTTCCCCCCCATACACACACGCACACGCCGCAGGTGGACATGAGCAAGTTGGGGTCTCTGGCGGAGGAGGATGCCGCCAAGAAGAAGAAGGCGGCTCGCAAGACCGCCCTGCCGGTGCCCTCCCAGGCGGGGGGAGGGGGGAGGGGCCCCGGGGGAGGCAAGGGCGAGGGGTCGTTCTCCGCCCTGACCGACGAGGAGAAGAACGACCTGGTTAGCCAGGAGGTGGAGATGGTGCAGGCGGAGATTGAGGCGGTGAGCTGGTGTTTTGGCGGGAGCAAAAAGGGGGAAGGTGGGGGGGAGGTGTGGGGGAGGGGAAGACACAGGACCCCGGGGGGGAGTGACTGACGGCTGGAGGAAGGGAAGGAGGGAGGGAGGGAGGGGAGGTGTATTGACAATGGCGCCTCACGAATCATTAGAGAGCCTCTGACAACACCGCCATCCCCCCCCCGGGGTTGAGGCCCTTGATAACCCAGCACGCAACAACCATAGAGGGGAAAGTGGTGGTGCTGCTGCTGCTGCAACGCACTGTTGTAGACCTCCCTCCGGACCTCCAACAGGAGCAGTATGCAGTAGCTGGCCGCTGAAAAGGCCTCTCGAGATGCTGGTGGTCGCGCTACGCGCGTATTTGTAGAGCCGTACTGTGTACCAGCTACTACACAGTATCTCTGTCAGTGCTGATCCTGGTGCTGCTACTGCTGATGCTGGTGCGGAGTATGTGAAGTGGAGTGACGAGTGAAGGCGGTCTCTGTAACTCGCTCTCCCTTTTCTCCCTCTCCCTCTCTTCCCCCCCCCCACACACGCACATACACAGACACACACTCCCCCCCACGCGGGGAAACCCTTCACCCCCTTGTGGCCCTTGCCTCGTTTCGACGCCTACACCTGGCGTACACGGTGGTACCGGCCTTTATCGCTCACTCGTGTGTGGCCCTGTATATATGTCCACGTGTGCGTATTTTGTGGATATGTATGCTGCAGATTAAGAAGGCGGGTGACAAGGACATTGACGACATCCGCACGCTGATGGAGGAAGTGGACATGAGGATTGCGGAGACCAAGAAGGACACGTACGAATTCAAGCGGGACATCATCATAGGGGCCGAGAACCCGCGAACTGGAAAGGTGGTGGCGGAGAAGATGATTCGGTGAGCTTAAGGGGGTGGGGAGGGGGAAAGGGGAGGGAAAGGGGAGGGCACCTGCGTTGCGTCAGCAAAAAACACGTCTAAACCTCCCACCCCCGTGTATCCCTTGGGTTTAGGGCCTTGGGGCGCGAGGTGTGAGTCCTCTTCTGAATTCGTGTCTTAACACGTGCTAAGGTGTCGCCAGTGGAATCGGGGCCAGTCCGTTAACCAACTTGTCGTAACATGCAGCCGGGGCTGACGAGGTCGCCATCACCTGGCCCCCCTCCCCCCCGGGACTCCCCCCCGCACCGCACCCTCTGGTGTCGCTCCGGTCCTCTCCTGCCCCTTGCGCGCACTTGCCGTACGGTACTTGTACTTGTATGTCCTGCCTGCGGGTCCTGGGACGTGAGTGTATCCTTTCATGACACCTTTCATCTGACGCGACACGACACGACACGACACGACACGCTCTGCCCTGGTGTCAATTCCTGTGGTTGGTTGGTGGTTGATGGTTGATGGTTGGTTGGTGTTATGTGACTCGCAGGTTCCTGGAGGACAAGCTGCGTCAGAAGGACGGCACCGCGGATAAGTTGCGGCTTAAGAACACCACCACTAAGGCGCTCATCACCAAGCTGGAACACCAGCTGGCGCACAAGGAGGAAATGGGCGAGGTGAGGGGTGGGGAGTGGGGTAGGGGCTGTGAGGGGGCTGTGAGGCTGTTGGGGAGATGGAAAGGGGAGGTCAGAAAGGGGAGTGGAGGGGTATTAGCTGAGGTGCGCAGGAGTCGGATGAGTAGCTCAGTAGTCTGGGGGAGCTAGGGGAGATGCGTTCCTCTTGGTTGCGGGACTGGGGTTTCGAGAGGCTGAGTTTGAAGCGCTGTCCGATCGCAACTGTCCCAACTGTCACCTTCTCCCCCCCTTTCAGGTACTTCATCTAGTAGACTTTGACCAGCTCAAAATTGAGAACCAGCAGTACATGGAGCGAATTGAGGAACGCAACAACGAGCTTCTCAAACTTAAGCTTTCCACAAGTCGGACGGTGCAGGTGAGGGAACGCATTTTGCTTGTGTGTAGCGCACGAGAACTCATTCGTTGCTTCATTTTCTGGGCATTCCTAGGCATTTCCTCCCATTCGGCCTCCAGCCCTCCCTCCCACCGCTACAACCTACATTTTTTGGGTTCACCGGACGTCAGTATCCAGCGGTATATCCAGCGGTATCCAGGAACCCCGCCGGATCCCCTCACCTAGGCTGGCTGGTAATTTCCTGGACATCCAGGTTCTCTCACCCCCACTCACCCCCACTCACCCCCACTCACTCACCCTTACTGAACCCATAACGGCGTCTTCCGGTGGTAGGTTCTGAATCACCTCAAGTCCCAGTTGAGCGACATGGTGGCAGCGGGCCACTCGCTGAGGAGGCAGATCCTGGAAAGGAAGCAAGACCTGGCCAGGTTTGACGCCGAGTACACGTCCGTACTGGATGAGAAAGGACGGGGAGAGCGCACTGTACGGCGCCTCAAGTTGGAGCAGGAGGACATGTGAGGGCGCGGTGTGGGCGTGGGGTAGGGGGTGGGTGGGGCGCGGGGTTGGCGTGGGAGGAGGGAAGGGGAGGGCGTCGGCGAGGGGCTGCTGGGGAGTGAGGGTTGCGGATACGGGTGCCGAAGCTGCGGTGTGGTGGCGGTGAGAAGCCGGTGGGCAAACGCGCTGATGGATGGATGGATGGATATGCCCCAGGCCCTTTGCATGACGTGTGGTGCCATATGAGCTGCGGTGTGCTCTCGGATGTTACCCTCCTCCTCCTCTTCCTTTTCCCCCTCCTCCATCCCCATTGTTTTCACAATCTTCTTAACGGAGTCTCAATCTTGTTGTTTGTTCGCCGATGCCCCGCACAGCGACACGCCCACCATCATGGACTACATAAAGCTAAAGCACGAGGTTTCGGAGCTGGAGAAGCAACTTACGGACTGGCGCCGCAAGATCGACATTCTGACTATGGAGAAGTCCAGAAAGCGCACACTGCTGAAGACGGTCGCCACCACCACGCTGCCCATGCCGCATCGGCCCGGGCCCAGCAGCGGAGGGGCTATGTGAGCGCCGGTGCAGCGCGATCACCGCCGCCGCCGCCGCCGCCGCCGACCCCAGGGGCAGCAACCGTGCACTCCCAACCTAGCATGGGCAGCGGCAGCACCGCCGGCTGTCGAAACCTTCGATGTGATCTGTTGTGGTGGTGCTGAGGGTGGTGGTGGGGTGGTATGGCGCGGTTGGGAAGATCGGGCTTTCCGGTTGTCGCGGCAGTGCACCTGATTTTCTTATGATGTACAATGGCAGTGCGCGGCGGCTGGTGATGGGTTATACCGGAACCCGATTAGCGGAGGGCTGCGATGTCCTGTTTGGCTCATAGGTTTGGGTCCTAAGTTTGGGTCCTAAGTTTGGGTCCTTCCTAAGTTTCATGGTGGGGAGTTCTTCAGGGGGGAGTTCCTCGGAATGTGATGGGGGGTGTGTGTGGGGGGGAATTGCAGAGGCATCTTGAGACGACTGCAAGGATTGTAGAGCGCCGGGCTATGTGTGCTGCTGCAGATGAGAGGTCTCTCATCAAAAAGGCGCGGCAAGCAGCCGCGCTGCTGCTGGTGGTAGGGTTCGGATCGTAGAGAGGGGTGTGGGGCTGGAGCAGAACCTCCTTCCTCCGTCCCTCCGCCGCTTGTTGGACGCACTTTCCGTCGCGTCTGAGCGCGAAAAAGTAACGGCCGGAGGCTTATTCTGTATTACTTCCTGCGCACACATGTCTCTCTCGAGCTCCACTTCCGCTGTGTGCGGGACCGCAACCAGGGTGAACAGGGCAACAACGTGTGTGAAACCTGCGAGGCGGCGGCCCCCCCCTCCTCCCCATACATCGCTTACGACTCCAGCAGTTTGGGACTTTGGGCGCCGGCAGTTCGCCGACTTCTGATTCCCCCCCTTGCATATGATGTCCCCCTTCCATCATCCACAACCCCCAAGAACTTCTTGGATTGAATCCACACGCTTCCCCCCCTGGGCCAATAGTTCTCACTCGCCCTGGGAAGCACCATCGCGGAAGCACCCATTGCGTGGACCAGCGTGCCTACAGTCCCACCAAAGGAATCATCAGGCATAACTTCTTCGTTTTCTTCGTCTTCTTTAGTTCCCCTAAAGGGGATGAACCAAAGTCTCTTCTTCTTCCCCTTTAGGGGACTCCGTCCCCTTTAGGGGAAGAAGAGCTCCCCTTCTTCCCCTAAAGGGGAAGAAGGGGTTCCCCTAAAGGGGAAGAACACACCTTTAGTTCTTTGGGTTCTGTAGACCACGGAGAACGGAGGTCGGTTTTCTTCGGACCACGAAGAAAACAAATTTAGTTCATCCCCTTTAGTGTTCCCCAAAGGGGAGACGAAGGGGATGAACTAAAGAAGACAACCCTTTAGGGGATTATGTTCCCCCTACACTGACATGAAGTCAGCGCCGCGGCACCCTAAAAGTGTCCGGAAAGCTCTCACAAGGCGGTTGCAGGTTGGGCGACTATGCCCCGTACCTCCGTACACCGTAGATTTGTTTCTGCTGCTGCCGGCAGGACGACTGCATCGCATAAGTGGTTGTAGTGTAAGTGGGAACCCTGCCGTAAGTGGTCGTTTACATACACTCCTCTCACACTCCTCTCTCCTCTGGGGGCCCCCTTCCTCACTAGCATGCATCTGTCCGGCACATTGCATCCATTCCACATATAACAGGAACGCTTGAGGTGCGCACGGCCACCTTGACAGTGTGTTTTCTGGTTCTGGTAAAGCCTCATGTAATGTCCTGTGCATGCGCCGTACTAGGTGCACGTTTTCACGTGTGCATATATATGCGAACTATGATACATGTAACACGCAATCATAATCACAAAAAGGTGGTGGCATGGGACATCGCCCCCAAAACGCCACACGCAAGCGGCGGCGTCTGTCACCGCGGTCGCCGCGTCGTACTATTACGTGCGTTTATTACATCGTGTATGAAAGAAAGACAACGTATGTATGCCCGCGTGCACCGCGGCTCCGCCAAGGCACTCACGACGACAAGTCAAGTGGTGCGCTTGCAGAGTTACAGACAGACACCCGGAATAGGTATTCCCGGTCGTGTGTTACCGGGCCCCAAGGTGCCGATCTCTAGTCGCCACTGCCAAGCCGGACCGCAACATCCGCTGGCTGTGTCGCCGCACCGTCCCTAGGTTCTCTTTCTGGCCCTTTTCCTCCTCCCCTTTCTTCACCCCAATTGAATGTTGCTGCTGATGATGATGGAGACGCCGCCGTGCCGCCGCCGCGGCGCCCTCCTCTTCCCCCTGGCCCGTGCCAGCCGTTACTGCTCCAATGTTCGCAGCCACATCGCCGGCCCCACCCCCCTCCGCCAGCCCTGCAACAGCCGTCGAGGCCGCCCCAGCCACCCGGGGATTTTGATGCAGCAGTACGTCTTGCACGGCAGAATCCAAAAGTTTGGCGCTGCCGCTGCCGCTGCCGCCATTCTCCTGCCTGGCGGCGTCGCTGGCCATTGCCGTCGCGGTGGAGGAATCGGCCGCCGCTTCCTCCACCGCGCGCCGCTCCAAGCTCTCCGCCCCAGCCGCCCCCTCGGTAACCTCCACGGCCCGCTTGGTGTCCGCGCTCTGCGTGGCCGCCACTCCCTCTACCGAGGCTGCCGAACCAGCTCCGTCGCTCGCCGCCTCCCCCGTCGCCGCCTCCGCAACCGCCTCCACGTCATGTACTCTAGGCGCCTGATCGATCAAATGGACCAGCTCCTCTCCGGCGGCATCCGCCACAGAGTGTGGATGCTTGGGACCGCAACCCTGGAAGGGGACGGGCGGTGAAAGGCGGGAAATCGTGTGTTTTAATGCTCTAGGGACCGTGCAGGCCGGTGCTCTGCAGAGCCCACACCGGCCCCATTCCGGAATAGATATGGAAAGGAGAAAAGGTGCGACGCACGCGCGCTCTCAAGATTCCGACCTGACACGATTTTAATTTGTTCCTCTTTTTAGACGCGACGTATGTAATGTAATGTAATGTATGTAATGTAATGTAATGTAATGTAATGTAATGTAATGTAATGTAATGTAATGTAATGTAATGTATGTAATGTAATGTATGTAATGTAATGTATGGACAGACGGCGGTGATAGCTCCCGCAATGTGGGCCCAAGGCCGAAGCGAGCGGACACGGCGGCTACCGAAGGCCGCAACAAGGCGGCGGACATGACTTACCGGGCCAACATTGATGCCCAGATGCGCCAGGAAGCAGAGGCCCCCGCTGTGCTCCGCCCGGGTGGCAACAGCCGCACGAACGACCGCCACCAGCAGGAACAGCAGCACCACACCGCCAAGGACTAACATGGGGGCCAAACCCTGAGGGGGGGAAGTGTGTGTGTGTGTGTGTGCGTGTTAAAATGATCTGAGCGTGCGCGCGTGTTTCCTTATCAATCTGAGCCGTGTATCTGTCTGTCTGTCTGTATGTATGTGGGAGAGGAGGGCGGGTAGTGGGTTAATGCGACCACCTAATGACCCGGGCCCCGGCTGGTTTTAACACACTGATCTAAGAACAGGAAGTTAGGGCCGCGGTGCTCCTGGTTTGTACGCATGTACGTCTGTGAGCGCATGAACATGTGCGTGTGTGTGTTGAAGGGGGGAAGAGAGGGGCGTTCGGGAAATAGCAACGAACAGGACTGCAACGCCTCCCTCAACATCCCGACAGCCAACTTCAATTTCTGGCTCCCGATGGCACACACACGCACACGCACATGCACACGCACACCCTCTCACTGTTCTAGGCCACTACCTAGTCGGCCACTTCCCCACGGCAGCGCCCCTCCTACCGTGACTCGATTCGGGGCTCCCTCAGGTAACCGTTATTCGCCAGCGCACCACCACCACCACCACCACCACCCGCACGGCATTTCCCCCCCACCCACCCCCCATCATCATCATCATCATCATCATCATCGAGCGGCTCCGAAGACCATCAAGGCACACACATACATATATACATACATACATACATACATACATACATACATACATACATACATACATACATACAACACACGTCCCACACACTCACGCACCTTCCTCTGTCTCTCCAGGTGCGCCAGCAGCTCCGGCAGCTGGTCCACCCAGCCCCCCCCCGAGCCCAGCAGCCCAGTGCCGCCGCCGGAGGTGCCCGGACCCGGACCGAGGGGAGACCCCGGGGAACCAGTGCGGGCGGAAAACACCTTGGACTGCGGCCTGAGCCCTGAGGGGGTGCAATCACGCACACATACACACCCACAGGAGGCGACCGCGTGTGTGTCTGTGTGTGAGTCTGTCTGTGTGTGAGTCTGTGTGTGAGTCTGTGTGCGAGTCTGTCTGTGTGTGAGTCTGTCTGTGAGTCTGTCTGTGTGTGAGTCTGTGTGTGAGTCTGCCTGTGTGTGAGTCTGTCTGTGTGTGTGTCTGTCTGTGAGTCTGCCTGTGTGTGAGTCTGTGTGTGAGTCTGCCTGTGTGTGAGTCTGTCTGTGTGAGTCTGTGTGTGAGTCTATGTGTGAGTCTGTCTGTGTGTCTGTCTGTGTGTCTGTCTGTGTGTGTTTTGATTAATCTGCGCCGCGATACGGTAACAGGCCGAAGTGGGTGCACGATTAACTGTACCGATGCGTGCTCCGTAGTCACCAGCGGCGTGTAGAAAGCCTTTTCCCTAGAAACTATGTGTGGACACAGCTGCTGGAGTTGTCCAGAAGAGCAACCCACCCATCCGAGGTCCACACCCCTTTCTCCCCCCCCCACTCACTCACTCACTCACCCGCTTGCACGTCCTGAAAGGCCCTGGCGGCCAGCCGGCTCTTGAGCGCCGCATTCTCCTCCAGCAGCCGCGCCGCCGCCTCCCGGTGCTCCCGGGCGGCGGTGGTGGCCATCTCGCGGAAGGCGTCAAACTCCCGCTGAATGGCCACCTTCTGCTGGTTCAGGGAGGCCAGCTCACCCGCCAAGTCCTGTGCGGATGGCGGGCAGCGCGTCGGAGGATCAGAACCCCGGTGCGACATTGGGGACAACACCGGCAGGGCGTGTGTTTGCGGGGTTTTTTGGGGGGGTTGGGGGGTTGGGCGGCCGCCCCGTCTAGGCGGTGATGTACCTAAAAAGCGCGTTTTGGAAAGCTGGTGAATGAGTCATTGAAGGGAAGTGTCATTGAAGGGAAGTGTCATTGAAGGGAAGTGTCATTGAAGGGAAGTGTCATTGAAGGGAAGTGTCATTGAAGGGAAGTGTCATTGAAGGGAAGTGTCATTGAAGGGAAGTGTCATTGAAGGGAAGTGTCGTTGAAGGGAAGTGTCATTGAAGGGAAGTGTCATTGAAGGGAAGTGTCATTGAAGGGAAGTGTCATTGAAGGGAAGTGTCATTGAAGGGAAGTGTCATTGAAGGGAAGTGTCATTGAAGGGAAGTGTCATTGAAGGGAAGTGTCATTGAAGGGAAGTGTCATTGAAGGGAAGTGTCATTGAAGGGAAGTGTCATTGAAGGGAAGTGTCATTGAAGGGAAGTGTCATTGAAGGGAAGTGTCATTGAAGGGAAGTGTCATTGAAGGGAAGTGTCATTGAAGGGAAGTGTCATTGAAGGGAAGTGTCATTGAAGGGAAGTGTCATTGAAGGGAAGTGTCATTGAAGGGAAGTGTCATTGAAGGGAAGTGTCATTGAAGGGAAGTGTCATTGAAGGGAAGTGTCATTGAAGGGAAGTGTCATTGAAGGGAAGTGTCATTGAAGGGAAGTGTCGTTGAAGGGAAGTGTCATTGAAGGGAAGTGTCATTGAAGGGAAGTGTCATTGAAGGGAAGTGTCATTGAAGGGAAGTGTCATTGAAGGGAAGTGTCATTGAAGGGAAGTGTCATTGAAGGGAAGTGTCATTGAAGGGAAGTGTCATTGAAGGGAAGTGTCGTTGAAGGGAAGTGTCATTGAAGGGAAGTGTCATTGAAGGGAAGTGTCATTGAAGGGAAGTGTCATTGAAGGGAAGTGGGGGGGAGGACCATATATGCACCACGGAACGAGGCCGCTGCAGAGGTGCCGGGGATGGCGGGGTGTTGGCGGAGGATCGGAAAACGAAAAGGGCCCCCAGAGGGATGTTAACCGCAGGACAAGAAGGACATACCCACCTCCACCTCCACCTCCACTTCCTCCCTCGCAACTTACGTCTCCAGGCCATTCACACCTCACGCACCTCCCCAGTCCAACAAGCCAGCCACCCTAGGAGGTGGTGGACAACACGCCCACCAGCACCCACCATCGTGTCGGAGCCCCTGGCCTGCTCCTCCAGTTGCTGTCGTACTCTGGCCACCTCCGCCTCCAGCTGCGCGACCCGGGCTGTGGCATCCTCTGTAGCCCGGCCCAGCTCAGCCTGCCAGGCCTCGGTCAGGGCGGCCTCGGCAGCGGCTATTGCCTGCTTCCTGGAGCCGGCAGGGTGAGGGTGAGGGGGAGAGGGAAGTGTGCATTTCGTAACAAGAAGCTCTGGGCCTCGAAAAGGTGGGAGGAGATTTGAGAGTCGATAACATGAAGGGCCATAAAAGTGTGCCCATCTCTATACATAAATCGCATGTATTTACAACATATGTCTGTCTGTCTGTGTATATGCGTATGTGCATATGCGTATGCCGAGAGAGGTGTGGTTTACACGTCCCTCCGTCCCCCCCCTCCCCCCCCTCCCCCCCGCACGCACGCACCTGCTCGTGTTAGCGGCCTGAAGCTCTGTCCTGAGGGACTGCAACTCGGCATCCCGAGCCCGCATCTCCAGATCGTACCGGGCCTAATGGCAGGGGCGTGCGAGGGGTAGAAATAGCCAGTGGTGGTGGTGGTGGTGGGAGAAGCGCGCGGGGGGGGGGAGGGAAATGATGGCCCCCCGCAGGGGACTTTTACGGCAGGTGCCCCTGGCCAGCGTCAGGCCCGTATTAATATGTAACATACATACATACATACATACGCACACATACATGCACACACGTACCCTACCTGCAGTAGCGCCAGCTCGTGCTGCAGCCGATCAAGCTCGTCCTCAACCACCTGCCGCGATCCAAATCAACCACAACCACAACCACCAGTATACAGTTAACGAACAGGATCAAAACGCAAACGGAATGTATCCGCGCGGGACTATCTCGGTAGGAACTGGAGGACAATCCCGAACCATCACAAACGACACACACGGCCTCCCCAGGCTTCCCAAAACGTCTGCCGGGCACACAAACGTACACCCAGGCACGGCAAAACCAACCCGCCGAACATTTTCCCCCGTGCAAGGAAACCTCCTCTCGGCCCCACCCACGGCCCCACCCCGCCACCATTTCAGTTCACCTGCGCCACGGCGGTTCGGGCCCGCGCCTCATCAGCCTGCCGCTCCGCCGCCTCTGCCTCGGCCGCCGTCGCCAAAGCCTCTCGTAGCGCCCTCTTCTGCGCATTGTAGAGCCGCCTGCTCTCCTCAAGCTCCTAAGCGAACAAGCGAGCGAGGGAGAGAGAGGAGAAAGGGAAAGGGGGGGAAGGAAAGGGACAGGGAGGGGGGAAGGGGAAAGACGAACCACAAACGAGTGAAGCTGTTGCCAGGGCAAGAGGAGGAAGGGGACAGGGAGGGAGGGAGAGGGGAATTGGACAGCCGAGAGTGTGTGTGTGTGTAGAGTCGTGTGGGCGTGCAGGGGGTCGGAGAGATAGATCCAATTGCCTTAATGAGGCTCAATGACTTGGGAGACACAAAATGTGTGCTAAAGAGAAGGCGCGTACCACAAGTACCGTTTTGCAACGTACGCGTCTTTGTTGGTGACACCGCTCACATTCCGGGTGGCTCCGACCGCCGGGGGGTTCGCTCCCCCTCCGCGGCCACCCGACACGCGGCCCCCAAGTCCCAGTCCAGGTCCAGGCTCTGTGCGGCCTTACCGCAGAACCCTAGGCTCTCCCCTCCCATCGCCCTGACCCTCTCACCCTCTCACCAAGCCCTCGGGTCCTCACCTCCTCCTTCTGCCCCAGCGCTACCTCCAGCTGCTCCACATGTGCCGCCAGACTTGCCAGCTGCTTGTCCTTCTCGCTGGCGACGTTGGCTGCCAGCTCCGCGACCTTCTCCTGGGAGACGATGACCTCCTTGCGAGATAACTGGACGGTCTGTTGGGCGAGGGGTGTGGAGTGTGGTGGGGAGGTAGAAGTGAATACTGTAGGCGGGAGGTGAGGTGCGGCGGGTTCTGGAAGAGGGTCGGGTGCACGGGCTCTTGCAGGGAGGCGGCGGACGCAGCGTTTCGGACCTGGAGGGTAGCGTTAAGGTTTTCCCCCACCCACAAGGCTACACCGAACATCGGTATTGCAAGGGCTGGACTAGGATGCGTCTTCTGGGGAAAGTTTTCCGGGCTGGAGATGTTTTACGCATGCCCAAACGGTTGCACAGCTGCCCCCAAGGCGATCGAGCGCTAACCAGATTGCTAACCAGATTGTTACCTTTGCTGCGAGCTCCCTTCGGACGTCCATGAGCTCCTTACGGGTACGTTGCAGCTCGTCCTCTAGCGCGGAGATGGCTGCGCTGTGTTCGCGCTCTCCATTTGCGTTGGCCTCGCCCAGCTGGGCGGTTTGCAAGGATCGTCGCTCCTGGCGCGGTTCTTCTTCATCCACGTCCTCCTCCAGCCACATCAGCTGGTTCTCGTCGATTTCCGGCATCCCTAAGGTGTTTTCAGAGTCCCAATGGCATTGTCTGCAACATATATCCTTGTCCCTTGTCCCTAAGTTAGCACACTGCCAAATTGTAAGCACCACTCACGCCGAAAACAGCTCGAGACACAGTCCGAGACCGCAACAGCCTTCACTTTGTCTTAGTCCTTCTTTCACGGTGAACTTCACTTTAGTGTAAAGTGTACAGCCTAAGCAAGTCATGTTCCCATGGCTCCAAACCCGGTAGTACGAATAGGGTCGAAAATCCTCATTTCCGACCAACGCAATTCACGCCAGACTTTGGTTGTTTTGTGTATTGCGTAGATCTGCATGATGCTACTGCTGCTCAGCAAATAGCTTGCGTAGCAGAAATAATTTATCTGCCTCAACAATGCTAGATACGCCTTTCCATAACATGCAGTCCTTATAGAGTAAGAAGTTTGACTTGAGTAGCTCATGTGGTCGCATCTGGTGCGAATGTATGCCTGACCGAACCTGAACGTTGTGAGTAGCTCTGAAGACAACATGACTCTCTACGCCAGTGGATTTAGCTTGGAAAGCAGAGGTTTGAACGCAGAACAACAGGTTGGATCTTCGTTGTCTACTGAACGGCACATTGTGCGGCGCACTTGACCACGGAATGCCTGTTCACATCCACAGGCCACAGTTCTGGCATTTAAGCGTATCTTACAGCAAACGGGTTCCTGGGATGGCCGAGTCTTTGGTAAGACTCGTCATACGATGTATTCATCGGTTTGACCGTTGCACTGACCACCGCCAACAGCCGGAATCGCCGAAATGCTGGGCTGCAAACCTGGAATTTAGGAACATGCTCTAGGATTCACGCTACTCTCTTCCAGCGCGCGGCCCTGACGCGTCCCCTGCTGTCTGCGTCCCGCACACTACACCCGGTCTGTTCTCCCCTCAGATGAACATGACTGCGCACGCTTCCTCAAAGCGCGAAACTACGACTTGCAAGCCGCGAAACAGATGTGGGACAGCATGTTGGCCTGGAGGAGGGAGAATCGTGTGGACACCATACGCGACTGGTTTGTTTTCCACGAACGCCCTGACTATGACCGCGTCTTCCCGACCGGTCTGCACAAAACAGACAAGGAGGTAGGCCTAACCGGTCGACCAGGCTCATATCCCTGTCGTTGTAATGCCGGCGCCCATCAGCCTTATTATTCCCATCCTGCAGAAACCCCGCCTGATAACCCGGCACGTTCGTAAGCTGCAACATGCCACCCAGCTTCTTTAGTTGCCATGTTGTTTAATTCCTTACAAAAGTAAGGAGAACAAAACATAGCTCCCAACCTTACAATGCCCGGCATCCCTTGGCTGGAAACACCACGCCGGCACTTGGGATTTCAGAAAATGCAGTCGAGTGGGCCAGGGGGGGGGGAATGGTGGTTGGGTTCTACGTGTGATCTGCCGGTTACCGTCATCTGCCTGCCCCCGCCTGCCGCGCCTTACAGGGCCATCCTGTGCTTATTCAACAACTGGGCCGCGTTAACATCGGTGCGCTGTATAAGGTAACCACCGATGACCGTATCCGCCTGGCGCATATTGCGGAGAATGAGCATCTCCGCCGTGTCGTATTCCCCGCCTGCTCTCGGGCTGCGAGGCGCCCCATCGACCAGCTGTTCACGATCATCGATCTGGACGGCGTCGCCTTCACGTAAGCGGAGGATGAAGGTGTACGCGCGGGGGTACTTGGCGCTGTGAACTCTATTGCCCTTGATAATAATGTGCGGCTTGCTTGTCAATTTGCAGGAGCATGATGCGCACCACCTCCCTGCTCAAGATGTTTATGACTATGGACTCGAACAACTATCCAGAAACTCTGGCGCACATGGCCATAATCAACGCGCCCGGCTGGTTTTCGACGTCCTGGGGGGCGGTGAAGAGCGTGCTGAGTGGCGACACGGTACGCAAGATCGAGGTAAGTTGTGAGAATGGGAGCAGCACTGGTGCTGGGCGCATGTGTCTGGTCGAGTCGGGGCACGTGTCGTGTTGGGCTGGATCGGGTCCTGGGGGCCTTGGCGGAGAGGTTTGTGTGCAAATGAGGTGAAGCATGACGAACCTTATTTCCGGGCCCGGCCCGCTGCATTCTGGGCATTCTGCAACGAATTGGGATAGGCTTGTATAGTCATATTGGTCCTGTGCCGCCGTGGCACTGCAACCCTAAGCTGTGCCGCATGACGCCATCTGTGTGCTCGCTGTGAACGATGCTGTGGAGCGCGATCTTTCCTACTGGCACTGCAGTGCGGTCCGCGTGTGGCTCCTCAGGCTACCATATGATGGGCCTGACGGCGTTGTTCTTTGTCCAAAGCTCAGGCCCAACCACAGGCTATTAAAACGAGCGCGAATGATAGTCGCATGTTGCCCGTTTGCCCGCTCCTTTGAAAACGATCCTACTAATCTATGATCGCCGCCCCTCCCGCTCTCCGTTCAGATCCTGGGGAAAGATTATAAGGCAGCGCTGCTGCGACACATCCCCGCCGAGAACCTGCTGGCCGAGTACGGCGGTCTTTCCTGCGGCCGGGTAACGGACAACGAGGGGCCTTGGCTGCAGCAGCAGGAGGAGGAGGAGCTCACGCCGGAGCCGCCCGCACCGCCGCTGTCGCTCGCAGGAGCGGCCACAGTCACTGCCGTCAAGCTGCAAATCTCCAGCGGGACGGCGTCGATGTCGGTTGCTGTGGCCGGGGCGTTGATGGAGGCTGAGGCTCTGGGGGCTCCAGAGCCGTTGGAGCTGTCCGGCGATGGCGGCGGAGCACGGGACGGCGACCAGCGCACGCCGCGAGACGTGCTTACGCGGCGCTCGCAGTCGCCTGTACGGCCGGGGGCTAAAGTTGCGGCAGCGCCGCCGGGGCCGGCGCCAGATCACCCTGCACCGTCTGTGAGCCCGCCCCTGCCCAAGCGGCTACATGTTGAGGAGCTCCAGCTTCAGGCCATGCGGCAGCAGCAGCAGCCACCTGCCGCGGTCGGCCATGCGGGGACGCAACCCCAGCCGCAGTTGGGCCTGGGGCTCGGCAGCGACAGCCCCGCGCCAAGCGTTAGCGACTCGGCTTCGGACAGTGCACAGAACATGACTGCTCCGCTGATGAGCAATTTCCTGCCGTCCAGCGAATCGGCCTCCCCGCAGCAGCAACTAAGACAGCAACAACAGCTCGCCCAGCATCGGCATCATCCGCCGACTCCGCCCAGGCAAAGCTCGCCGCAGGCGAGCACGGGCGGGGCGGCGGCCACTGCCGCGATTACCGCAGCAGCCGGGGCTCCGGCAACATCCCCCCTGGCCTTGCAGCGCGGTAGCTCCGGCGGTGGCGCAAGCGGGCTTGTGGCCGGCTTTGTGGCTACCTTGCATGCAGCTGTGGGACACGGCACCGGGCAGCACCAACACCACCACCACCACCACCAGCAGGTTCAAGCCTCCGCGACAGCAGCTGACGGCGGTGTTTTGCGGCCACCTGCGGGGCCGTCAGCACCGTTCCACGGCCTGCTACACGGCGGCACCGCATGCCCGCAGACACCGCTACAGCACCAGCACTTGGCACTGGCACGTGGGGGTGCACCAGGCCCGGCGCAACTGCTGCTCAATTCACCGCGGGAGGATGCGACGGGCCCTGGCACCATGCTCTCCGTCATGAGTGCAATTTACAGCCCACCAAGCCTGGTGAGCCCCTTGAGCCCTATGGATATGCATGGCATGGCCGACACCGCCACTTCCAGACGAACAGACAGCGGGAGTGGCAGTCTCGGGGGCGCTAGCTTACTGGGATCCGGCCCCGCCGGGTCAGCTGTGGCGGGGTCTGGGCCCGGTCGTGGCGGCGCCAGCGGTGGAGGCTTCAGCAGCTTACCGAATGTGCCCATTGTCGCCCCAAGCATGCCGTCGTACTCGGGCAGCGGTTTGAGCACGTTCAACAGCGCGGTGCTGGCCAGTGGTGAACTGCTGCCGGGCAGTTCTGCATCCGCGGCGCCGATGACACCGTTGCTGCCGTCCCAGCAGCAGCAGCAGCAGCACACGCCGGCACAGTTGCAGCAGCAGCAGCAGCTGCTGAATGACGCGGACGACACCGAGTCGGTGCGGTTCTCGGTGATGAGCCAGCGCTCCTTTTACAGCGCTCTGTCTCACCTGGACCAGAGCTCCAACAGTGGCCTGATCAGCCCCAACGAGGGGTCGGAGAACGCGCGGCGCTGGTCCATGCAGCGTGAGCTCCATGCAGCTGCCATCGCATCTGCGCTGGCAGCCACGGCCGAGCGGCGGGCGGCGGCTGCCGCCGGCGGCGGCGGCGGCGGCGGTTCTGCACCTGCGGCACCCGCAGGCGGTTCCCTCGCAAAGGCCTCCATCACCGGGACGACGCAGCCAGGGCCTACTGTTGCGATTCCCCCAGCGTCGACGCTGTCCGGGGTGTCGTACATCATTCCACCTGCGGCACAGCAATCCTTCGGGTCGTACCTTGACCAGCCGCCATCTTACAGCGCGCTTCGGGCTGCATGCGGCCCGGGCTCATTCACGAATGGAGAGGGGCGCCCAGTTGCACGCGAGGTGAGCTATGGGTCTAGTGCCGGCGTTGGCGGCACAGGACATGGGGGGGAGGCGACCGAGGACGGAACCGAGGGGCATCGCGGCACGGGAGCCCCAGCTGACGCCGTAGCAATACACATGGCTAGCGACAGCAACGGTGGGGTAGGCGCTGGCGGCCTGTCGCGGTCGCCGTCTGCCGCCGCCATGGAAGACTGCAGCTTGGGGGCAGGAGCGGTGCGGTGGGCGCGAGGCTGGTTTTTCCGCCGGCGGAATTATGGCCGGCTGGTTGAGACGGATGGCGCCGTTGACGGAGCAGGCGCGGTCGGGAGCGGGCAGGTATCTGAAGGTGTTCGACAGGCCGGGACAATGATGGCGCGTGTCAAGGTGGCTGGCGCGAGCGTGTCTGGCTTATATGCTAGTATGCAGGACGGGCCCTGCTCCACCAGCCCTAGCAAGTTGATGCCGAAGATACCGTCGGGTTCACACCACGCACGCGGTGACTCGTGGGAGTGGGATCAGCCATCGCCGTACGACATTGACCAGACGTACAGCCGCGGTGGCGGCGGAGGCAGCGGTGCTGGCCATCATCGCGAGTTGTCATACGGCCGAGGCAGCGAGCGTCGGCGGTTACTGCGTTCGGAAAGCCCCGGCCGCCGGCACCGGTTGGGGGATTACTGCGGCTGTGTGCCATGCTGCAATGTTATGTGAAGCCATCGTGGGGCCTTATCTGGCTGTGTGCCTCTCTTTACTGCAGTCGAAGAGTTTTCACGACTAGTCTGAGACCAGCCTTACGTTGTCCGAGGCCGCCAATGCCAATATGTAAGTTGTCGTGCGAACATGGCATGGCTGCACTGTCCGTGCGCTAATACTTAGTGGCTGGGAGGCGTTTCCCCTCCTTGGTAGGTGCATGTAGGTGCGGTCCGCCCTCCCCGCCGCATATGACTAGATATAGTGCTCATGAAAACCTGCATGGGGTGCCCCTGTCCCGAGGCTTTTCGCGCAGTATAGCCACACGACGAACATGGGCTCAGTCGGGCCCGGACGGTTGGCACCTAGCGCTGCTACAGCTACGTATGTAATTGACATACACGCACACATACAGACCCTGGGTTCTTCCTGTCTAGCTAGGGCCCTGTGTTCGTAGCTCTAAACATTCGAGGAGATTGTTGTTTAAACGTCGATTTGACGAGAAGAAGAATATGCCATAATGAATTTGTGAGCTGTAGCGCTTTGCTTGCAGTGTGCGTTTTTCAGCGGTGGGATCCAGTTCCGGTGGGAGTTCTAGCTTCTGTGGTGCATGGCTGTTTTGGCTGTGTACCTGCGTTTACGTTTGCCGAGGGTGAAGTGTGGGCGGGACAGAGTCCAACTCGGGTCTAGACAGAGCTTGGGGAGCCTGCTACAGCATGCAGCTGAACATTAGAACACTAGAGTTGTGCTTTAGAGGTCTTCGCGTTGGCGACGTACTAGTGGTGGCTGATGACCATGCTCGCGATTTCGATTGGCTGGCTAGAGGTGTTCGGTTCGGTGCCAGCAGCTGCGGCCGCCCCCGGATATGGCGCCGGCATGAGGTCTTTCATAGGGAGCAGGGTCCGACGGCTTGCATTGTTAATCCCTGTTATTGAGCGTTGCACTGGCCCAAGTGGTTTGTGGACGAAACCTTCTCACCGTTCCCGCCGCGTGACCCGTAAGAGCGATTGTGAGGAGGGATATTTTTTCTGCATCCGGATCCTAAAATTAGCCATGTGTTGATTTTATTGCAGAGTTAAAAAAGTATAGGAACGCTTGACTTGTCTGTGACTTTACGCGTCCAAGGTTTGCTGCTTGCCGGGAACCATTCAATTCGCCCGGTTAGCGTGTCGGCATCGGGACCATGTTACAACACTTTTGACTTCTTTTGGACCTGTCGCTTCACTCTTACGGACGCCTAATTGCTGATGCCATTTCGTTGGCAGTGGTTTTACCAGGAGTGTACAAGATGCATGTAGGCTGGGCATCCATATTGCGTGGTTATGTACGGCGAGTTTGGGGTATCGCCAGTTGTGCGCAAGATCCGATGGCTTCCACAATCTTGCTTGTGTGTGTCGCGTGCCCTGAATACAAGGAATGCAAAAAACAACATATTTGCTCTTGCTAATCCATAAATTGCTCCGGACAGTGGTTTTTTTTGCCAATCCAAGGCTGCTCGCCAATCCATACTTTGCAAGCCAGAGCTCGTCCATGGTTCTTGAACTTGCGAGCGGTTATGTGCGTTGGGTTGCATACAGCGTTCCAAGCCGAGAGGATTACCAACCACTGTCTTTAGATGTTCGGAGCAACTTTGAGGCTTGGGCCTTCCAAGCGCACCAGTAGTAGTTATATCTATTACGTAACCCCTATATGCGTCTAAGCGCGCAGGCGCCCAGCGTTACGTACCAATTCTGGAGGTAGTCTATCAACGGAACGCATGACATAAATAATATATTTTATATAATGTGCATTATCGAACAGTGGATTGCAGCAACAGCAGGGGTCCTCCGACAAGCAACGTCCTAAGGTGCCCATAAGCGTCGCAATCGCCATGCACCGAAGTGGATATCGGAAAACGACACTATAACAGCTCGGGACACAGATATGAAGGGAGCTCCAGCATAGGTACTGTACGAGGATATTCATCGCTGTATGAGAAGGGCACGAGAAGTCCGGAATGTGTGACACGAAATGGTGTGAGATCTGGGCAGGATCGCGACAAACCCCAGGTTTCGTCCATAAACAGTTTCACTCCGAATGCATTTAAGCTAGTAGGGCCGGCTCAAGTGGCCTGCAGTTGTTCCGGTCGTTTGCGGGCGTTTGTCCTCTGCCGCCGACTAGATGCCAACAATGCGCTTTGATTGCGACATATTATCACATTTGCAATAATGACGGCTTCAGAAAGTCCCATGGCGGCCGGTGGGACCTTGTTCCCAGCGGCAAGACTCAAGATGCTGTGGCTAACTTCTGCGGTCGCATTGCACTTCATGGGAATCATACAGTCTGCGGGTAAGAAGCTTACCAATAAAAACAATACAGATTCCTGCCTTCCACTCCCTAGTTGAAGTGCTCGCATAGTGTCCCGATGGAAGTGCCGTGTCTTGGCCCCTCCCACATTCTAGCAGCAGGGAGCGCACGGATTCTCGTGTATTGCTTCTTTGGTTGAATTGTTTGGTTAGATGTTAAGCTGAAATGCGTATTAACCTCACACTGCATCTCGCTTTACGCGGTTGCAGTCGGCCAAGTTACGCCCGTGCCCAGCTGCATTCATTCCGACCCCAACAACTACACGGACGTTAGTAGCGGCCTACTCAGCAGCTGCAATGACCAGGCCCGCTGTCTAGAGTTTCTGGCGGTAAGGATAGGGTCACACGGACCCAATCCCAAACTTTAATTAGCATTTAATTTGATCCTGTCATATCCGTTCGGGGCAAGGAAGGGTGGGAGCTATGGGTACCAAGTCGCAAATCCGTTGTATCCAATAGATTAGGAGTTGCTTCATGTTAGTAAAAATACACTACACTGATTACAGTAATGCTATATAAAAAATAACAAATTATCATTGTCGTTATTTATATATACTTCTACCGAGGGCGAACTGCAATTAGTTCTTGCTAACGTAAAGTCAGCAAGGGAAGTTGACCCGATGGGCGGAAGGGGGGTGGGCCTTCGACATGAATTCTGGTTCGACCTGAAATCTCATCTATTGCCGAGAACATTTATGCATTGCATAGTACATGAAAAATAAAACATGGCACCACTTGATGTCACTCTCGGAACGGCTCTATCTGTGGGCCTGCTTCGTTCCAGCTTCGCTCCTATTTCTTTCGTACAGGCACTATCCGGTTCGCAGACCTGCCTGCGCAACTTACTCAATGCCTGCGCGAGGTACTGAAGTTAGCATTAGGTTACAAGTTACAAGTTCCGCACAAGTGCGGTGGTGTTCGTAAAAGCCGGGGGGCCCATGGACGGTAAATCGTTTGTTAGTGCGTTACGAGGTGGACCATCATTGTCCTCCCTCGTCCTTAGAGCAACGTGCTGGGTCTCCCAGACTTCCGAGAGGAACCTGGCTAGCGTCAAGGGTGGGGCCTCGGCCATAATTGTGCGCACGTCGCGCCCTTGAAAAGCGAGGGTCACGTTCGTATTTAGCCATGTACGTGTACATTAGGTTTTACGACCGGCTGCCCAATCTGCTGTCATCCAATCCTCCCGGGGAAACGTCTTAGGCCCTATTTCCGCTGGTCGAGATTAGCGTCGGGGTTAGCCGGCTTATATTATGTATTGGCTGGATTATATAAGAAATATCCGCAAATAGCAACGCGGGATTACTTTGCGGGAGCTAGATGAGGTAACTCATGCTTTTAGACGTCAGGGCTACCGCTCGTACCTATCACAATTGCATGTCGGTTGCGATGTGGGAGGTTTCGGTGTCCGTGCGGGGTCGAGGGATACTTGGGACAACGAGATCCGTTTTTTAAAATCGTAAATTTCCCAAAGCTGATGACAGAAAATGTTTGAAGCTCCTGGAGATTTTCAATTGCCAGGTTTTTATGTAGGAGGAATCAGCTGGGGTTAAGACTTGCTAATCCCCGGTGATTACTCCGGGGCAATGAAAACTGTTGGGCCTTCCCTGGCCTTTAAAGAGACCCCGAAACTTCACACTACGAGGCAGAACCAGACATCCTTGCGCTTATACTCGTACAGGTCTTGAATATGGGCGCATTATATAGCCGCTGGCATTGCTACGAGGCATCGCTGTCTGTTGTCGTAAAGCTGCTGCTACTGTGTATATGCGGGTATATGCGGCAGCTGATGCAAACGGTTTTGCAGACTCTTGCGTGCTGACGGCGTCCCACTGAACAAGTTTGGATCAGCTGCAAATGAATATTATGGCAGAGACGGCGGGGAAGTAATTAATAAGGCTGACAGATCCCCGCTATGCCGAAGCTTCATAACTGTCGTTGGCGGAAGAGCAAATAGCGTGAAGTGCCTACTGTCATAGGAAATAGGTCGGCATCAGACGCCTGATGCAGTTTTTCAAGCAGTTAAACAGCTGCGGTAAGGCGCGCTGGATCTGGCTGGATGCAGAATGAATCTCGTCATCTCGTCATGCATACTTGTAGGCGCCTATTGTTATTATGCGAGCACCCTCGGGTCGGTGCAATGGTGCCCGTTTGCGCGCCTGGATGCGTGTGATGAGCTCCCACACATATCCAGGAATCCTGACAGCGCAGTGCGGACAGCGATATGCGGTTAGTCCTTGCCTGGAGCTTGGGCCGCCTCATGATGCATACCGGCTCGCTACAGCTTTGGAGCGTGGCGCAACTCCAGGAGCTGATACCCACAAATACATACATACACACACAAAAAAATTACACATCCAAAAACCCACAGAATACACACACAGAATTACACACACACATGCACACACACGCGCGCAGATAGAGACGCTAAGACCCCACATCCTGCACATTCATGTACATCGATGCCATCCCGTATCTACCAGCACGCCGTATAGGCACACACATAGCAAGAGGGTTGCACATGGCAAGGGGGATCAGTCGCAGGTGCGCTCTTGTCGCCTTCGCCATTTTTACATCTTCAGCTCACTGAGAGATGTCTGAGCAAGTCTCCCAGTCTTCTTGTAACCGTCGTCACCGAAAAGTAGCCAACAAGAGATGGCCACGCAGCGAAAAAGCTATATACCTTGCAATATGAACGCCTCGACACGAGACTAAAAGCAAACACTTAAGCTTCATTTGCAAGTGGACCAGGCTTTCAGGCCCTTCCGCCCCAAAGTCAAATCACCGTCTCTTTGCTTGCAGACAGTTGCAGAAACCCTAGGTTACTGACTGTCGTTGTAACAGCGCGCCTGGGGCTTCAGTAAATCTTCCGGTAGTTGTAGATCTAAGCACATCCATAACCCGGCAACAACACTTGAAAACCCTTATATATGTATCTGTGTTGTAAATGCCCATCCGAGCTGCTGAGCCAGTCACCGTGTTTTCCCATATACCCTTCCGCATACACGCCGCTACAGGATAGCAGCAGTTGCAGGATTACCAACACAAGCACCGGCAGCTGGCTTTACTGCCAGTTTTGCATCTTCTGGTCCGATGCGCGAAATTGCTCCAAGCCCAGTAACGAGACATTCCAGTACGCCTGCCAAGCAGACGACTCCTGGACCCCGGGTGTCATTACCATGTTAGGGGCTGAACCCACCATCGGAGCCACCAAAACTATCAACTCCTGGGGCTCCTCCGTGAAGAGTGAGTCCCGGGAATTCATTTTGGAGGGGCTCCGCACATCCATGGTAATGCATCGCTAGTGTCCCGCTGCCTTAGGTTTTAAATTTCAGAAACTCCGACGG